AAGAGACAGTATATATATATATATATATATATATATATCAGGATACTAAATTGGTAGTTTAATTATAAAAATAAATTTATTGAATTATGAATTTTACCAACCTGTCCTGCAGCAAACGGCCACAGCCCACACTTCATCGCCTGTACCATACGCATTACATACATTATTTACTGTTTAAAACAACGAACGGTAGACATTAGATCAATACATAAACAAATTGCATACAAAAGTGAGCATGCAGAAAATCAGTTGCGTACAGGAATCGAATGTTGGAAATATTTCATCACCATAAAGGTATACATTTTGACATAAAATACGAAAAAAAGTAATTTTAAACATTTGATAGCGAATTGGGAATGGTTAAATTATTTAACTACCAATGACAACCAAATATGCCTTCACTGATTTGCAGAACTTTTACTACATAACTTGATTACCAGCCCATTTATTGAGGGTTTAATATGCAAATACATAATTATATATGTGAACTGTATTATTGTTTACTTCTGCTTAATCATCGGAAGCTAATTATTTGGCCTATAACAAACTATACATTTTGAAATGTTCAATGCATTAATTTCAATTATTAGGTGAACTGAACATTGTACGGTCTTGTAATTATTGACATTGTTAGATATATCAGCAATTCTCTTACGGAGCCATGTAATCAATTCCATAAAATACACTAATCTAACAACTGCGATAAGATTTTACACGAGAGTCCCACTATATTTAAAGGAAAAAAAATCATTGTTGATCAGAGATTTTGGTATTGGTCATTGTGAAAGTTTCTCAGATTAAAAAAAAATGCAGAATTTACAACAAATCCGATTTTATTCAAAGCAAGTACTTTTAAACATTTTTCAATGTAGCATGTCAAATGTACAATAAACGGATGTCTGTCAATGACAGCACGATTTCAGTCCAAAAAGACACAACTTACGTGCAATATTTTGTATAGTATAACTTAAACTAGTCTTTCCTCTAAGTTGAAGATTGATCTCATAAAAGGAAGTAAACAGATATAGCATATCGAAATGCAGACGAAGACTAAAATGGCGCAAACGTCGTAAGGCAGACTTTGCTTGCTGGCGTAGTGTATTTATGTTAATCCGGACGTTACGTATTTTATGTGATAGAATCATATAAAACTTACCTATTCTAGTACCACTTGGTTCATTGGAAGATTCGTTGCTAGTGTGTACATTACAGCCAGTCATAAACCAGCCAGGGTTGCAATTGACAGCAGCCAATGTACTCATGGAAGAAGTTCTGACATGACATTCCAGACCAGGTGCTCGGCAACACGCTGCCGATGGACCTGAAGTAGAATGCTTCATATAGTAAATATACCTTTAATTCTGTACAAATTTTGAAAATCTTGGTCAATAAATCTCTTTATGAGACATAAAAGACGAAGCTGATGTTTAGCTTTAAGAAAACTTTTCATGATTTGAAACCTAGACTTTGGGATTGAAACGCAAGCAATAGCTCGACTGTCTCCCTCCCTCCACCACCACGTTTAAGTAGGTCTCCCTCTAATTGAAGACCCCTCCAATTAAAGACCACCTCCAATTATGACGGTAACTCAAATGTATTTCCTTCTATATTGTAATTTAAATTTATTCTGCTTTTATTTTGTGTTTTATTGTTTTCTTATTCCCCACATCGCACGGAGAGCCACATTGACGGTAATTTATCGTATTTTTTGTTTATCCCGCCGGCCTCTGTGGAAAATCAGATACCAATATTTTTTGTATTGTAAATGTTTTCCGACTGCTTTCTATATATTGCATACGGCGAAATAAATGAAATGTGGCTCCAAATATAAAATGTCTTTTATCTTTACTGTTCTAAAATAACAAAGCTGCTAAAGATCATGGAAATATCGGCGGGTACCAAACGTGATCTTTATTTGGAGGAAGACCTGTATCTAATACATACATTAGATTAGGCCTAAATTCATTTTCTTTATTTATCATGTCTATGAATTAAGATGGTGACGACACTTACTGACAGATCGACAACTGTATGCCCTGCATACGTTGCTATTTAATTCTTGATCTGCTTTACTATTTATAGATGAGGCGGTTATGGCCGATATTCCTGGACTGGCGCCTCTGATACACGAGAATCTTGAATATGCCATGCAACCTAAAAAAAAAGACAAAAACTGATCAACCTTACTTACTGATCAATCAATCAATCTTTACTAATCAATCAATCAAACTTTACTTACTGATCAATCAATCAATCAATCAATCAATCTTTACTAATCAATCAGTCAAACTTTACTTACTGATCAATCAATCAATCAATCAATCAATCAATCATTTAATCAATCAATCAATCAATCGATCAACCAACCAACCATTAAAACTATCAATCAATTGATCAATCAATCAATCAATCAATCAACCAACCAATCGATCGATCGATCGATCGATCGATCGATCAATCAATCAATCAATCAATCGATCAATCAATCAATCAATCAATCAATCAACCAATCAATTAATCAATCAATCAATTCATTTATATGGTGCCAATCGTAACAGTCGTTACTCGTGGTGTTTATAAAAAGGTACGTCTTGAGAAGTGACTTAAAACTGTCAAGTGCAAAATAAATGTCGGAATGTATATTCCAGAACCTGTGTCCGACAGCGCCGAAAGCCTAATCTCTCAGCTTACAATCAATAGCAGAAAATGTTGAAAATAATATTCATATTCTGAAGTGGTATCATCAACATGATTTGACCATCAGCACAAATAATAGCCTATACTACCACCACAACCACCACCACTAATAGGTTTAATATTAGGGCATTCATTGTATTATTCACATCTTAAGAATAGTATAAATATAACATTTAATAGTATTTACCGACTACAATATTGTCATCTGGACACGTGACACTGTTTACGAAGTATGTCTCCAAGTCGTTTATACTTGACAGTGTGGATGGATATGAACATTCCATATTGAGCCACGTACAACACCGGGCGTAGGCTCTTACACCTGGAATAAAAACAAAACCACCCGTTAAGCATTATGCCCGGCATTATGTCAGTGCGCCCGTGAAAGTTTCCCAGCGTGTGGTGTGATCAGACGCTCTACCCGATATATTATATAAATCTTCATTTAAAAATCCTCATAATCTTTACAATTCGCTTCAGGTGTGTTCTTAGCGCTGTCAAAAGAATTGTATGAAAGTTACATTAGGGCCTACATTTATAGACCGCAAGGTCCACTGATTAATCTCAGATAAGATAGTATAAAACACTCCAACTATCGAAATAAAATCAGGAATACCTGATGATGACATAATGTCGAAATATTGAATCGCGACACGATGGCGTGCATTTCGATAATTGGAGTATGTATTATACTATCTTGAACATTAATAGCTTAGGTGAGTTTTTATCATCAAATCAAGAACAGTTGTTGAAAAGTAGAAAATCCGTGATACTCTTTTGAGGGGGATAAGAAAAAAGTAAAACATTCAGTTGAGGACGTATGTTATGTTAGGGGTCCTTTTTACTGGAATTTTAGCCATTTTACTCGGTTTCAGATTATTTTCCTGCGACCTTTCACAATTCCTAGATCCACCTATGTGAATCATAGGTGATTCGAAACCTGAACACCAAACCAGCTTATTCAACATTTTCTTATTTAGGTAGCCAGACAAAACATTACCTTTTCCGCCATTCCCATTGAAAGCTCGACATACAACACTTCCACTATCTAGTAGAATCTTCTCTCCATCTCGTTTGCCAGCGTCATAGTCTTCTTCACCGAATGACATACATGACGTCATGACTTCGTCAGCTACACATTTTACTTGAATGTAGTCATCGTCCCCAGTACCAGACAAATTTGATGTCCTAGTAGAGCAAGTCTAGGAAATGTTTTGCAATTATTTAATGTTAAAATAACTATGCGGGTATATTTATTCGTATAGTTCTAAAAAATAGGGCCTAATAGCAAAATGATAATTATAATACCTGTTTTCAGATAATTATCGGAATATTTATTACATGTAATAGAGTTATACTGTACTTATATTTTAGGACTTGTCATTTGTATTTTATGTGTAACGATGTTGAATTAAAAATGTACCGCCAGGCCTACCATATGTATTTGTATATATGGATACTAATAATAACAGTGCTTAAATAGGAGCAAGATGTATTGACAATTATTACATTGCAGGCATTACATCCTCAAATATGAATATTTGAGGAGCTCCTGCTCTCTTCTTGCAGTGTTAGCCGTACTGACCATAAAATCAAAGTAAATGGATATAGTGTGTATAAAGTATATAAATCATTATATATATATATATATATATATATACATACTGTATATAAGTCTACGTATACACTATCTTTACTCACCTGAGAATCTGTAGTTTGTAAAATTATCAATACTAATATTGCAACTTGAAAAAATATCATCTTCTTATGGTCCGATCACATTATGCTAATGTTTCCTATTGCAAGCATGATATTTAATGATTGGCTAGTATCAGAGATCTGTGGCTACAGGATTTGTACCGTCAATTACAAACTGCAAGAACAACATATTATTTTTTATCATCAATATTAATCACTATATAGACACATATTTACTTACTAGCCTCATTATTACCGTACTTCGGTTAAGTACTTTTTTGTATGTAGTAAAGTAAGATATAGTGGTAATGACTATAAGTATTTTATGTGAGTATTTTGAACTGATTGAACTGATTCGAATTAAACTTTCGGGAAAGTTTAGGCCTAACCCAAGTTACAAGTAAGATATTATTATGTGTAGGGGACGATCCAGGTTAGGGTGTAAATTTGAGGGTGATTTAAATTGCTTACGTCTTAGTTATAGATGGATAAAAATATTTTTTCTTTTCAGTCATTCAATCGCTATGAACTGAAAATGCACTTTCGTATACAAGGTCGGCTCATGTGGCAAGCAATGGTTATAAGTCACGATGTTCCTCGCTATTACCGTTGCAGCGGCGCCATAGTTTAAGTCACACAAATAACGTCGCAGTGAACTTGGTTTTCATTCTATTTTCCACTTTATTTTATCCCACTTTTTTCACTCCATACCTTTTAACGACTTTTCATTTTGTTGCAATTTCAACTTCATTTCTCATTAAAGCAATGGGGAAAAGCCCTATGTTCTGTTGTTCAAACAGACAGAGTAAGATTTCCTAGACCTCTTATTCAGTTTTATCACTGGTATATTAGGTCATTTATAACGATGAAGTTCGTTTATATAGGGAAATATGAGCAGGTGACAATAGAGTAAACCATTCGAATGTGTTAGTTTTGATTAACTTGATACAAGGTGCGTTTTGCTTCAATAAATCTCAACAATAATTCTTTCTAGATTGTCCTCAACCTGAAAGTTTCAAAAGGAAACCATCCATCTAGAAAATGTATTGTGAGATAAGAACCTTCAATTCAACGGTACTTGAAAGAAACGAAACTTGAAAATTATATGAATAATTGAATGAGGATTGGTTTCACAGCTATGTGAATTACGAACCGGATTACAGACAAACTGAATCAGACCTCAGGCTCACAACTTGTGGTTTAGCATAATACCTGTTTTTGTCTGAAAAAAAGCGCCCCCATTTTGGTTACCGATTATAATCTGCTGCTATGATACAGGTCAAAAGTTTTAGGCATTTAATTTTTAACAACGTTAACATTAATCATCAATGCTGTGCTTGGTTTGAAATAAAAATAACTGATTATACCGTCTGTTGTTTAACATGAAAACCATTAAGAAATAAAATAAATCATTTAATTAAACTGCTTTAACTGGAACAAAATACGCTTGTCCAAAAATACACTATTTTTTATATAACATAATTATTACTTATTATTACATTATGACAATATCAGTGGCTGATGCAGGCATTTGAGATAAAGGGGCCCAGAGAGGGACGGGGCCTATGGAGGGTCTATACCACCTCATCCCCACCCTGATTGGGGCTGACGCTAGAAAATTTAAGATTATGGCACCTCTAGATGGCCGGAAATGGCACTCTTAGACTCAAAATTTGAGTAGAAGTTCCTTTTTTAGGTGGGGTGGGGGGGGGAACGACTTGAACCTTATTTTTTAATGTAAGATACATGTGTACATATTAAGTTTAAAATTGTATGTGTATTATTTTGGTGTGTCTTATTAGTATTATTATGTACAGTATATACATATAGTATAATTGTTTTGTGCGGGGCCCCCCAAATGAATACATTTTTAACTGTTGTTTGGAGTTACCGTGTGTAAATAACATAATAAACTATAATAAATGAACCGAATAGTAACTGTGAAACAATAATAATTGTATAATAACACAATTATAATATTATAATAAATAACAAATGAACTGACTAGTTAAACTGTGAAACAATAATAATTGTATAATGACACATTTATAATATTATATGTATAATATAAATACGATACATAACCCTAATAATAATATTATAAATATTTATATAAAGAAGCCTATATTATATATTTTATCTACTTATATATTTTATACAGTGATACATTAATGACCATATATTATATATAT